GTTAGATCATTTAGGGAAGAACAATATTAGGTTGTTTTATGTTGATTCTGTTCCCGATTTGGTTGTAAATTTTAATTAGTTTTGATTAGTATTGAATGAGTTTCTGTATGCAAATATTTGTTTCTGTTTATGTTGATTTTCGTACTTAAGTCAATATGCTCTGGCAAATTGAATGTACAGATATCGTCCCTGTAAGCCGTGAACGATTCAATGTGAAGATTATTTTTTATTTCAAGATTTGAATAGTAAGTGTTTATGAAAAAAACATGTGTTTTATTTATTTGTTGTGTACAATAATCGTTTCAACTTTGCAACAAAAAGGGTGCATTTTTTTTATTTGGATTGGGCCACGTGATGTCTTATTTTGGGCTTGTTGTGCGTTTTCTCAAAACATGATTTTAATTAAGTTTGAAATATAATATTTTAGTTATAATAAAATATTAGCATAAGTAATAATTTTAATGAGAAGACAATAACAATGATATTATAATTAAAACAAAATAATTTAAAAAAAAAATTCAAAATATGAATTAGGCCACTGTTTCTAAATATTGGGCCTCAACATAATAAAATATTTTATGGGCCTTCTTGACTTAGAATATACACCCCCTAATTTATTCTTAAAAAATAGGACTTTAATAATTTTAGTGGGCCGGTCTGGAAACCTTAATGGGACATATCATTTTATTGGGCTTCTTAAAAGGAAAACTAATTTGTTTTATGGACCCCCTCTCAAAATGGACGAAACCCTAATGGGCCATCAAATATTGATGGTCCATTTATAGATCAATACACCTTTCTTCTCTGTTTTAAACCCCTATAGAAATAAAACCATAAGATTTATTTTAAAAGGAACCCTATAATATAAGGGTAGGGAAAATTTAGGGTATGACAACTTCCCCTATTTAATCAATTTTCGATTGAATAGTGTGAGAATACGCAGGTCTCATACATTTTGATCGAAAGTTTATTAAATATTGGAAGACCCCAAAAAATTTCTGAAAGATTATAAGGATACGTTGTACAGCGTTCCCATGAGTGTGAAGGATAGGCATATATGATGATATATCATCTTACCAATGTTTGAACCAAAGTTAATTTGACCTAGATATGACGATGCGGATAACTCGTCAGTATCTAAAAGAAATTGTAAATTTACATATTTACCATAACCTAGGAGGTAAATGATACAACTTTGAAAAGTTGACTGACTAACGCTTGGAGGATAATATAGTAAGTTTGGTTTGATTTGATTTTGTTTATTCATCGCGACCTAGGGGATGGATAAAACAAAGTTTGACAACACATTGTTGCATGGAGGCTAATGCAAAGACCTATATCACAGGAAAACTGATAATAAACATTGAGGCATGGAGACTGATGCAATGAGTTAAATCGAGGAAGAAATTTTGATGGTTACATTGCTGCCTGGAGACTGACGCAATGGATTATACCATAGAAAAAGTTTGATAACAATATTACAGCATGGAGATTGATGCAATAAACAGAGTCTGGTAAAAGCATTGTTGCATGGAGACTGATGCAATGGAAGGAGTTTGGTAACATTGTTGCATGGAGGCTGACACAATGAGCTAGATCGCGAGGAAAGAACATACTGCTACGTGGAGACTAACATAATAAGTTAAGTATAGAAAATTTCATACATTGTCGCATAGAGACTGACATAATGGGTGGAATTGCTTATTTCATAACATTGCTGCCTGGGGTCTTATATAATGAGCTAGATCAAAAAGAAAGAACATATTGTTGCATGGACACTAACATAATAAGTTAAATATAGAAAATTTCACACATTGTCGCATAAAGACTAACATGATGAGTGGAATTGCTGATCTTGCAACATTGTTGCCTGAGGTTTGATACAATGAGCTAGATCGCAAAGAAAGAACATATTGTTGCATGGAGACTAACACGATAAGTGAAATATAGAAAATTTCACACATTATCACATAGAGACTAACACAATGAGTGGAATTGTTGATTTTGCAACATTGCTGCCTGGGGTCTGACACAATGAGCTAGATCGTGAAGAAGGAACATATTGTTACAGGGAGACTGACACAAATATTAGAGTATCAAAATTCTTTATACAAAGATACTCATTTTCTATCATCAAAACACATAGATACTATTGCATAACCAAATATTGTTCTTACATAGTCAATTACACAAGGGGAAGGTATTAACACCTCTCACGCCTGTGGTACTCCACGGGATCCACAATTGTTGTTCTAATTAAAAGGTGTGTTTATATATAAATCTTACAAAATAAGGGAATGCATGAGAATGAATTGTTAATAAACAAAAATAAAGTTTTTATTATTGTTCTTACCTCGGTTTTTGCAACCTCGTGCCTACGTATCCCGTGAAGGAATCAGAGCACCGTAGTTCTTCTTAAAAAATTTGATTTGTTGAATGTTTTTTATGAATGATGTTAATTTTGTATTCTACTGCAGCTCGACCTTTGGAGACTCATGCGTTGTCATAGAAAGGAATTAACATGTTCTTATATGAAAAGGTTTTCAAAAGAAAAGGCCGGAAGGCAAAAAATGTTTGGACTGGTTGTGTGTTTTTGGTATGAGAATACATCAAGTAGCTCCCTTAGACAAGGGGTACTTGAGTACTTCTATTTTAATTTTGAAATTGGATTTGATGATTTGAACCACATTAAAGACTATGACATAAGAGATTTTTGATAGTCGAGTCAGACGCCCATTATCCAAAGTAACTCCACATGTGCTTAAGGCTCGTGACACATGGTTTACCTCTTTATTGTTAATTGTTTTTGAGATTTGATAAAGAAAAAGAATTTTTTGTTTTAAATGTAATCGAAAATGGGAAACACGAATCTAAGGGGAAACTCAAGTCCTAATAGACCTATGGGCAAGGATTAAGGGAACTTCTACCTAAATTTAGCATGCTTGGTTTGGATCCTATAGTCTATTCAATTCACATATTAGACAAGATGGAATCAAACTCCTAAGGGAACATGTTATCACATAAAGCAAGTATGAAAACAAACATCAAAGTGCAAAGGTAACAACCAAAATTAGCAATCTCAAGTGTTTGAACAAGACCCAAGACATAGTCACACTTAAACATGTACAACTTCAAACAAAAATCCATCCCAAGTCTAACAAGACTCAAGACAAAACCAAACTTAAACAAACAAGGTTTCAAGTAGTCACATCCTAAGTCTAAAGAGACTCAAGACAAAAAAAAGTGTGGTTAAACAAACAAACACTTAGGTAGACACCAAAGGATCAACAAGAAAAAAGGTCAAGACATTTCATCAAGATAAGTCTTATCCAAACATCAAAGAAGCTCAAAAGAGTACTCAAACAAATATTAGATAGGCATGTGATCAAAACATAACACAAGAGTAACACTATTGAACAATCAACAAGCCTTTCCACAAGGTAATCCCAAAATCTCTAAGTTGTTTCCCCTAGCATGTATTTGGGTTCAAATTTATCCTAACCAAAGTAGCACAAGTTGTGAAGACAAGAATTAATTCAAAATAGCAAGTAGAATTAACAATCATCAACAAGTAGCAATCAAACAATGCTAACCTCAAAGCATGTTTCATGTCATCAACAAATAAGCCAAGATGTGTCAAAGTAAACACTTCAACACACTTACAATTCCCTAAGAGTCATGCTCAAAAGGTTTCAACATTAGAGGTTCTAGAACATAAACAAAAAGCAAGTATCAAAAGCACAAGTACATCATGAATTATGGTACCAAACAACCATCATCAATTAGCACACAAAGGAAAAATGATTCAAGTAAGGCAAAAACCTATACAAGGCAGCAACTACACCTAAAATAGTTCAAGTAAACATGTGTCAAAGATTGAGAATGATTCACAAAGGATCAATCAAGAATAGTTTAAAGAACCACACAAGAATCAACAACTAGTCCCTAAGAAACCAAGGCAATAAGGATCAATGCATCAAGGCTCAAACATAGAAACAAAATAAGACATGGCTTAGGCAAGAGTTCAAATCAAAACATGGCTCAAGGTATTAAAACCTCACAAAGAACAAACTCAAATATTAGGTCAACAATTAAACAATCATTAGCAAATTGAATCATCAAAAATATTGCTCAAGTGCGCATAAAAAAATATTGCCTACTTTGAGGTACGACTTCAGATACTCACATATTGCCTACTTCGAGGTAGGACTTCAAATCAAACATTGCCTACTTCAAGGTAAGACTTCAGATGCAACTACGCCATATGATTTTAGCAATTAATGAAATCCTAGCATGATGTGCAAAGGAGAGATAAAAGAGATCCAAGTGGTACCTAACAGAGAAGGTCAATTGCCTCTTCAACGTGCGCAAAATAGCTCAAGAAGTATGTCATAAGCTTCATCGTGGATCAACCAAATTAATCCTGAAGCGCTCAATATCATAAATCAACCTCTTATATCAAAATCATGGCAAGAAAGTAACAACAAAAATGATTATTAACATAAAAAGAATGATTGGAAACTTCAATTAAATTCTAAAGAGAAATCCTAAAACATTTCTAAAATGTTCTATATGTTTTGTATCATTTAATTTGCTATCTTATTCGTCAAGAATTAATGAAAAGCAAATTGAAAGAATAAGCTAAAATAATGTAAACCAAAACTCAAAACTAGGAGGTGCACTGAATATAGAAGAGTTTGGTTCAGCAAAAATGGCATTAAGGCCCAAGAGCAATGATCCAAGTCCAAACTACTCTACAACAAAACCAAATCTCAGCAACATTATATTATATTATCATTAGCATTATTTATTAATTCAATTAATCAATAACAATAAAAATAATTAATACAAAAAAACAAAGGAAACGTTTATGCGTTGGTTATGGCTGAAGACAAATTTCCCTCGTCTCTTCAATATCACGATACTCTTTCTTTCTACTCTCTTCAACAACGTCGCACACAAATGTCGGATCCACCTTCATCATGAACTAGCCATCGTGAATGTCCATGGCGCTAATCTTCTTCTCCGTGTGTTCGTTGCTCGGCCTATCGCTCAGACGCGATGCTCCGTCCCATACTTTGTCCGTCTCCGTCTTCAACCGCATGTTTCATTCTACTTCATCAGCTTCGGTTCTGATTTCACTTCGGTTGGGATCTCACGGTGGAACTCGTGGCGGTGAAGATAGCAAGCCACAACGATATGAACTCAGGTGAATGATTTATCCCTTTTCTTTAACCTTCTTTTGATGTTTCTGCGAACTCTCTTTCTTCTAGTTCAATCTTTCTTTTACCTTATGCTTCCGGGAGTTTTTCTATTGTTACAATATCGTGTGTTTGTTGTGCGAAACAGGGATCACAGAGGTGTTGAACCGATTGAAGTTGATGTTTGCAAAGATGAGGAACGATTTTGCAGAGGATGATGATGCCGTTGTAGGGAAGGTTGAAGATGAAAAATGGTTGCCTAGGAATGAGAGAGTTTTTGATTTTCTTGGTGAGTTTTCTATGTGGGTTTTATGCGTGTGATTTTTTTTCTGTGATGAGTTTCTTGTTATCAATCGTAGTCTTCTATTCTTAATTTCTTCTCGATTTTCTCTCCCATAATGAATATGAAATCATGGAAGTGATATAGCAAAATTTTTGTTACAACATAAAGAAATCAGAGCCGCTGAATTAGGAAGTTTTTTATGGCTAAATGGAGAGTTGAGATTAAATCTTGTTAGAGAAGTTTGCTTGTTGCTGAGCTAGAAATTATATTTATGATTTAACTTTCTGATTTTTTTCTCTTAATGAATGTTACGGTTTTGTCATGTGTAAGTTTGGGTTTTACTCGGACAGGTTTTGGCAAAGTGTAGCAGGGCCTTTTTGATTGTTTGGATTTGGAAAAATCAATGTGTAGGTTCATTTGTAGAAGCAACATTGGGTTTTTAGAGATTGATGGAACAAGTCTTGAAGGAATGTCCTCATGATGAAGCTTAGGATTAGGTTTAGCATAGATTTGTCTTTTGTAATCTTGTATGAACATTATGAATATCTTGACATCTTGTAAACTTTTGTTGGATGATAATGATAAATGATGAACTTTGAAAACATTTTGCTTGGATAAACTTTGGATTTGATGAGGGACTTGAAACTTGATTGAGCTTGTGGATAAATTTGTAATGTATATTGAATCTAAAGTAACCAACTTGTGACATACTTTGAATACTTAATGAAATCCTTCCTTTTTTGCAAATTCGAATTATTCTTATTCTCCGATTCTTAAGTTCAATGGATACACCCTAACTTGCACCAAAGCTTATAAATGTAATTCAAAATCATCTTGCACCACATGTAATGTAATGACAATTAAGATTCCCTAATATTTGTTGAGAGTAAATCCTCATAATGTGTAAAATGAAGATCAATGAGTCCTAATCTAAGAATGATCTGATCACTAATCCATGTGATGATAGATCCTAATCCAGGATGAAACTCAATGATAACTTATATCTCATAGAAAATGAAGATTCACACTTCAAATGAATGATTAAATCTAATATTTTTACACATAGAGCTATTCTTGATAAATTTGTGACCCTAGAGTGCACAAGTAAGAAAACATAATTCCGGAAGTCTAAGAAATCAATTGATCACCAGATGTTTATGGAAATAAATCCTAAGCCAAAAAGTCCAATGATTTAATGATCTTCACACAATTGAGCCAATAAAATCCAGTTGACCAAGCATAAAGAATTATCTTCTCCTTGACGAATCAAAATGGATAAATAAGCCACATGCCAAAACCCTTTGATGAAGGTAAGACTTGAAACACAGGAAAATACCTTGACATGAAACCCAATAATAGAATGAGTAACTTGAGGTGATGAGAATGGACCAAAACCCTAACTTACAACAATCTCACATGAACCCCTTGTAATACGGAGGGAGAACTGACTTTTTTAGTTTTATCCAAATGTGCGGATAGCAAGAGTCGCCACCGACTTTTCTTTTATCCAATATAAGAAAAGGATGAAAAGAACAGGAAAGACCTTGATATATTTTGAGTCTGGGGGGTAAGTTATGAAAAGGGAAGGTGGTAGCACCCTTTTCATCCGTAGTTATCTACGGGCTCTTAATTGCTAGCTCACTTTTGAAAATTTGCTTTTGTGTGTGATTTGTTTGAAAATATTTTGAATAACCAAAGTACGACTAACTTTGTAATGGTTCTTGTATCAGTCCTTAAAAACGCGTACAAAGTGTTTTAAAAAATATTTCGAAAGTGTGATGTGTAAAAATGTTTTTTTAGAAAAGATTGTGAGCGCCGATTAAAAGTTCTTACCCATTCGAGGTCGCTCTTGTTATTTTCCATCTCCATTAAAGATAGTGCTATTTGTACCATTAGTTGGTAGGTAGCCCCAACTATTAGATGTGAAGGGACAGACAAAGGGTCATCGTATGGTCATTGAAGGCAACATATAGAGATACTTTAGCAACTTATCGAAGGGACTAATTCATTTTTCGTAGGCAATGTCGAAGGGTCATCGAGGGACTATGATCTTTATTCGAAGGGAATTTGCTAAAGTATCCCTATTTCGAGGGACATGACCATGTTTCCGAAGGCAACAAAAATAGGTTACCCTAGAGGTGAAAAGTGTGAATAGTGTGTTTAGTTCAGTTATTTATCTTGTATTAGGATTAGGGTTTAGCAGTATAATATATACATAAAAGTAAAAGTGCGAAAAATAAATCATAAGCTATTACAGGGCTTTGAGGCAATTACATAAAAAAAGATATGAAAAATAAAGTGCGAAAATTAAACCTTAGACTATTACATCCCGTAAGCAGTTATATAATAGGAAAAATGCGAAAAGATAAAGCTAAACTATTACAAGAGAAAGTCGCGCGACCTATACAATTTCTCTAAGAATTTAAATGCGAAATAAAAAATGTTTAAAAAATGTTTGAATGTCATTTTTTATGAAATTGATTTAATGTTAGTTAAATAGTTAAAACCCTAAATCTAATTAATTTTAATTAATAAAAATCCTAAAGTCTAATTAATTTTATTTTAAGAAAATATTTATTAGGGTTTGAAAAAAGGATTAAAATTAATTGATAGTTAATTAAAAAAATTAGGGTTAGTAATTAAAATAAATAAGGTTAAAAAGAAAAAAAATGTAAAACTGCATGGGGTGGGTGTTGAACCCGCGCCCTCTAGCTCCTCTCCTTCCCTGCTCGCTACTGCGCCAAGCGTTGGTTTGTGTTTAGGAAACAAGTGTTGCACATAATATTGTAAACATGCATGTTAATTGTAAAAATAACAAAAAGTTGCAAAAGACAGGGATCGAACTCACGCCCTTATAGATCAATGCCTTAGCGCGCGCGTCCTTGCCATTGGGGTGGCTGTTACATCCGGTATCATAATTAAAATGGTTAAATATAATATCAACAAACATAGATGGGCCGGAGAGGCGCCGGAGGCCTAGCTCCGGTCGTTTTCTCCGGTGAGATGTTTTTCTCAACTTGCAAAATAACAAACATAAGTGATTAAGGAAGACCCTATCCCCCTAATTTGAGGGTTGTGAATTCAATGGTGGCTTTAACTTTGGATAATTCTTCATGCATAAAGAGATATGAACAAAATAATGTAAATTAGTCCAAACATGGTGCTAAGTTATCCGGGCGTTATGGGACTCATGCAAGGGTCTAATCTTGTATTGTTACATCTTAGAAACACATTAGCATGGTTAGTATGAATTAAAGTATGGTAAAAATTAAAAATCGAAATGCATGAAAATAGGAAAATTGGTGATGCTTCATGCGCATGTTTTAGGCACTTTTGATCATCAAGAATGATCCTAACTTACTCTGTAATATCCCTGGAATTATTTTGAATGGTTTCTTTCCCTTGAAGATGGCTGGAAATAGGATTGCAAGTTTTCCCTAGTTTGACAAAAATTGAGATTTGGAGGGTGTGTCCTTGCAAGGTTTTTTCGTGATCTCCCTTGTCTGAATGAGAAGATTATTTATAAGAGAAGATTAGGTCAAGAAGGATGAGATTAGACCTTGTAGAACAAACTTTGATTCTTGTTTGAAAATAGAATAAAATAAGATAAAAACATGGAAATTTGTTTTGCAAATAAGCTTCACACGGTTTCTCATGCAATCTTGGACCTCCAAAAGATTTGAAACAAAAGTATTTTAAGCCTTATACCTTCACTTACTATTTATTTGATTTAACTTGCATTTAAATGAATAAAAATTCTAATAAAATAAATAAAAACCATAAAAAAATATAAGAATGGTTTTTGGGGTCCCCTAACATGTTGTCGTACCCCAAATTTGTCCTATCCAGTTGATTTTATTTTTTAAGATTAAAATAGAAGAAATATTTAATTAAAGATGGTACAGAAATATCTGATGGCCCATCCTTATTCAAGACTAGGGGTGTATTTTAATTCACGAAAATGGGGGTCTTTCTAAAGCAGAAAAACCCATGCATTCGTGAATCCATTCGCGAAGCACGTTGACCAATGGCCCATGCGATTCAAAAATAAAACTATTTCGAATAATTATCAAGTTTTTAAGTATGGTTGTTGTTAGTAAGAAGAGGGAGTGTGTCTATCAATTTATACACTCATTTAAGGTTCTAATAAGACTAATTCCTTTTTGTGGTTTGACATTATTATTGCTTTAGAAAAAATATTAGTATTAAAACTTTTGTTATTTTAAAATAAACAAAAATATATTTCTTTGTTAGAAACGTAATATATTTTTTGTTACTGATCAACCTTTTTATCAAAATAATGTTTTGTTAAATATTACTTTTATAGTTTGTTTATTAAAGTTTTCTTTGGTTAAAAAATGGTTTATGGTTAAAAGGTTTGCTGAATAAGATAAGTTTATTGGGCTGAAATAAGATTTGATTAATGCAAAGCCCAGTTGAATTGGACCAGTTGTACTAAAAAAATACTTTTTTTCTGCAATAAAAAAAAAGATTGCTGAACTGGAAATAATAACATGCTGGCCCAAGAATAGAAACAGTCACTGTTCCAATTGAAATCCAAACATTAGCGCACAGAATTAGGCACTTTTGCTGCAAACATATATTGTTCAGATTCATAAGGGAAAGTCATATCCTTTATCAGTAAAACAGAAACCAAATAAAATATATTAAGTCAGTATGATTACAGAACCAAATCAATTAATTTATATCAATCTCTATTAACATAACAAAATCCAATACAACAAATCTCTATTACATTAAATTATGAATCTAAGAAAATCTCTATAGATTCAATGACAGAATCAAATATATTAAATCCCACACAATCCAGAAAATTACAGTAACAAAAATCGGTACAAACCCAAGTTTCCAGACATAATTAATTACAATAAAAAACCTAAAATTAAAGCTAAGATTGTTCTAAATCCCTAATCC